CAAGAGTGATGTTTCTCTTCAAGGTTAAGGGGATATAATGATCTGATTCAAAAACAACCCCCTCTTCAGCTTCCTTAATTTCTCCATCATATAAAACAACAGCAGAAAGATGACTCATTTTCAGAGAATAGAGGATTGAGATTTTTGAGAAATTTATAGTTTCAGAATTTGAAAGCTTGGGAGCTGAAGTTTGTTTTGAAAGTTTATAATATGTTGCATAGTAGTGTCTATAACAGGGGTACTATTCACGTGAAAGCATGTTCTCGGGGCCACGCATTCCATTATTTTGTCAGAGAATATGTTATCATTGCCCTATTATGTCACTCATATCCCCCAGGGAACTATTTATGTTAGTACCTATTATGTTTGAAGGGACTTGGCAAAGTGGTGAATGCGTGTTCCCGGGGGCGCGCTTTCCATTATTTTGTCAAAGAATATGTTATCATTGCCCTATTATGTCACTCATGTCCCCCTGGGAACTATTTATGTCAGTACCTATTATATTTGAGGGGACTTGGCAAAGAGGCGAAAGCGTGTTTCCGGGGGCACGCCTTTGATTGTTATGTCAAAGAATATGTTATCATTGTCCTATTATATCACTCATATCCCCCGGGGAACTATTCATGTCAGTACCTATTATTTTTTAGGGGACTTGGCAAAGTGGTAAAAGCGCGTTTCCGGGGGGCGCCTTCAATTGTTATGTCAAAGAATATGTTATCATTGCCCTATTATGTCACTCATGTCCCCCGGGTAACTATTCATGTCAGTACCTATTATTTTTTAGGGGACTTGGGAAACTGGTGAAAGCGCATTCCCGGGGGCGCGCCTTCGATTGTTATGTTAGAGAATATGTTATCATTGCCCTATTATGTCGCTCATATCCCCCGGAGACGTAGAGCTGGATGGTGAAATCGGGTAAATTATAACAAAAATTTAAGTTCTTTTTTGATGTTCAGCACGTTAAGGATAAAATCATACAAGTGGATAAATTTAAGTTCATAACTTAAATTAAAACGTTATGTAAAGTTTGAATAAAATGGATAAAATGTTATGGATAAATTGAATAAATGCGAAGTGATAAGTTGATTGTGACATTGAAATTGTATGGAATGAGCATCGAAATGTTTTTACGAATTATTTTCCATTGTGAGCCTTTGTTAATGGGATTATAACACGTGGGTTTTGATGTATATGTTTTAATGTATATGTTAAGGATAAAATCATATGTATGGATAAATTTAATTTCAATTTAAGTACTGTGAACTATAATTAGAATATAACTTTTAATTTCGAATACAATTTTAAATTTCAATTGGAATATTAAGTTGAATTTAATGTTAAATTTCGAATACTATAATTTGTATTTTAATTTTAAATTTTGAATACTATAATTTGTATTTTAAAAACATTTAACAAACATTTAATGTTAAATTTGAATAAAAAATAACTTTAAAAATATTATTGTAACAACCATTAAACATTTAAATAACATAACAAAATTACATAAATTTCTAAAATATAACTATTTAAATAACATTAAAATACAAATGGATCATCGATGTCGTCTTCTCGAATAAGTTCCACATTGGGGTGGTTGTCTATTTCGCTGAGGATTTCTTCGTGGAACTTGTTCTTCAGTCTCCTCATCTTCACTATCATCATCATCATCGACATTTTCTTCATTTGGCATAGATGACGCTGAAGGGCCTGTATAAAATAACGACCTTGGAAGAGTGTTACTAATAATCCCACCGCTCATAGAGAATTGAGAAAATTGTGAAAACATTGGCATCGATGTCTGTGATCCAAATGGAGATTGAGGTGTCTGTGAAGAAGCACCACCAGCCAAATAAGATGCATATGAACTATATGTTGGATCATTAAACATAGCCGTATATACACCTCCATATGGTGTCATAAAACCTTGCGGGCTAGGCATGTAACCTGGCGGGCTAGGAATGTAACCCTGTGGGCTAGGAATGTAACCCTGTGGAGATGGCATATGAACTGGTGGGCTTGGCATATACCCCTGAGGAGATGGCATCTGAACTGGAGGGCTGGGCATGTACCCCTATGGCATCATCATCGGTGGATAGGGATGTTGTGGTGGGACTGATGTAGAATCGATAACGCCTTCTCTCCGTCCACGAGTCGGGGGACGATTATATTGAGATGGTGGACGTCTCTCTCGGCGCCTAGGAATACTAACCCCTCGTGCTTCCGCCGAAAGTAGAAATGACTTTCCATTTTCATTAAACCAGTCCATATAGTTATCTATAACCATATGACTAGTAGGTATATCTCTATGGTTCTTTTTTTTCATCGACTACCTATGAAATATAATATAAACTAAATATCACCCTATTTAATTAAAAATATTTAAATCAAAATTTAGTTCGAAAATTACCTCAATAATAAGGGGAATACGTATGGTTCATTAACGATCGGGCATAAGAAAGACATGTGAAACCACGCCCATGATTATAAAAGTAGGAGAAATCCACCGATAGCAGTTTTTTATAATTCGTTGCACGACACATTTCTCTAAAGAGAAATGCCAAAACTGCAGCTCCCCAACTATATCTTCCAACTTCATTAAAATCAATCCGATGACGCAACCACATACAATGCACCTGGTTGCGAGATTTGTCGGGCATCAATATTCCTCCAATGATTTGTATAATATAAGCACGAGCACATGCCTTTGCTTCATCCTCTGAAACATTTTTTATTCAAAACTTCAAAATTAGCTTTCAACCATGATAAAACTATTCTACCTCCATTAAACTCTGGCGGAGCAGCTCCAAGATACTCCATGCACATTGACTGCCAATCACTATCCGCCATACCACACATAATATTTCCGTCGACGGGAAGCCCCAGATGCATAGAGACATCCTCCAATGTAATTGTAGCCTCTCCCCATGGAAGATGAAATGTGTGTGTCTCGGGCCTCCACCTCTCAATCAATGCAGAAATTAGGACAGGTTCGAGTTTGCAACCGCCAATAATTGTTGCAATATACCTGAACCCGTCAGAAGACAAATATGGCAAAATACATGTTGGTGTCGATATACGTGGGTTTTTAATAAATGTCTCTAAAATACGATCATTTTCCTATGTAATATGCATTACAAAAATTTATAATTAATATAAATTCATGATAAATTTAAATTAAAAATAATAATAAATATTAACATAAATTTAAAAAAATATTATCATATCATTAAAATGTCTGGAGATATGGTTTGCATCTAATCGCAGAAGCATTTCACTTTCCATTATAACTGTTGACAAAAAAAATATAATTAGCACAAATAATAATTAAGTAATAAATTTAAATAAATAATAATTATAAAAATATTTTTTTTAAAATAATATTTATATAATTATATTAATATAAAATATAACAACTATTTAAAAAATACTAACTTAAAAATAAATTTATTACCACTAGTAAGAAATTTAAAACTCAAATATTTGAAGAATTTGAGTTATATAAGAGAGGAGAATATGATTTTGGTGTGAAGAATGAGGGGGTTTAAGGGGTTTATATAGGGGAGGAGGAGGAGGTAGTTGAGGAAAAAACGGATAGGATTTATGGCATTTAATGGAAGGCGCGTCCCCGGGGATGTGCCTTACCCTCGTGTCATCCGACTCAGCAAAACCCCGTGAAAGCGCGTCCCCGAGGATGTGCCTTACCCACGTGACATCCGACTCAGCAAAAACTCAGGTAAAGCGCGTCTCCACGTATGCACTTTTGTGCCACCTCAGTCGAAAGAATGTTACTTCGAGAAATATTGGTCAAGCGGTGTTAGAAAAGAAAAATTAGAGTAAAAGGGTGCCAGTTATGTCAAATCACCCTTAACTTGGAAATATGTATTATTTTTATAAATATTTTTTAATACGATTTTACTAATAATTTAAAAACTGATATTGTTTTTATAAAACTACGGTAAAAGGAGTGGTTTACTTTATTTTGTAAGTAACAATGGAAACTAGAAGTTAAGGTCAAAACTCAACTCAACAAGGATCACTAACGTCTTCAACCCTCAAAGTCGATGCTAATGGATCTTCTCCGGTTAACATTGATTTCTTTTTAAATAAATTGTTAAACTAAGCCATGTATAAAATATTAATTAGCCCCTCCTAAAACACCAAGTAAATTAAAAGATGAAAACCTCTCCTAAACATTAAAATAAACCAAGAATCCACCAATTAGCGACAAGAACTCCAGACTAGCAATTGCCTGTCGTCAGGAGACAGCCTCCACTCTGAAGATCAAATCATTGAAAAAGAGCAAACCCTAAGACTATTTGAGAAATAAACTATTTTTAATGATGTTTATCAAAAGAAAGGTATTTGTAATGAAATTTAAAAACATTTTTTATTAAATTTAAAGAGTGATAAAAAGAAAAAAATCAACTAAATATACTGTATTTTCTTACATATACAAAAACAAAAAATATATATTATACAAACTTTATTATTTAAATATTCCAATACAATGGACCGAATATTTTACTACTTAAAGTACACCTTCCTAGCATCCAATTATTTATACCATATGCTCAAGTCTATCCAACGTGGCAACTTTTATCTCGAAGATTAGAAACTTCGTTTCCCTTTCCGTACAATTTATCTTCTTTTAATATATATTCAAGTTTTTGAAGAAACGCAAGGCCTACTACCTCCAATGGCGAACATATATATCATATACACAAAAGAAAGCAAATTTATTGAATTTTCAACTTATTACAAAAGAATTTTTATTCTGTCTGTGTAATATGTTACAACATGTTCTGCACTTATTGTGATCAATGTGGGGGATCTAAAGAAAATAAAAAAGAGAATAATTTTACAAAAGCTTACAACTTATTTTTGGAGATCTCCCTGCCAGTGTTTAGGAAGTAAATTTCTGGTTTCAATTCTTCCAATATATACCAAAAAAATGATTGAATTGATGAATATACTTAAAGAAGACGAAAAAAGTTGGGGTTAAAGGCAAAAACTTATAATGCCTTAATGAATAAAGAATGTTCGTTTTCATTCACGACGACGCTGCACAATATATGTACTTTTCTTGATTGAATTTTCAGCTTCCAACTCCGCCAAATTCTCAATGACAGCATCGGTTGCAGTATTCAAGAAATGCGACCAGTCCCTACATACCCAAAAATGGAAAAAATAAGAAAGAAAACAAAATTAGAATCTATACTTGATCATTATATCAATTATAGCAAAAAAGAAAAAGAAATAGTACTTCATACCCTGTTAAAGTGTCAAATGTGAGTCCAACAGTGTACTTTGCCTCCTCAAGAGCGCAGCTAAACCTTTGCAGCTGCTCGACTGAACTCGTACCGTAATCCATAACCCGAAGCTGCGATGGTTTCACATCGCAAAATATGGGTATAACCCTCTTCTTACTCTCCATGAGAAGAGCAAGCTCATGGAGGCAAAAGTATGAATCGCAATAATTGGGCGAAAAGACTGCGAAACCGATTTTACAATTGCGAATGGCGGGATTGATCTTGTCGAATAGTCTGTCACCGGGCTTCATGTTTCGGCTATCCAGGAAGGGCCTTAACCCCATCCTGAAGAAATGATCATGGAGCAGCCCGGCAATGTTTTCCTTCGTATCAATTCCTCGGTGGTTTATAAAGATATCGCATGGGGTTTTGGGTCGAAGGATTTTACGGTACAAATTCCTGGCAGATGAAGCGCCACGTAGCTGCATGGCTCCTTGGAGACGCTAAAATGAAAAGACCAAAGAGAGGAGTAAAAAAATATCTATTCCAAGCTGCACAAATTGGCTCCAAGTGAATACAATTGTTTGTTTTTTTGGTTTTTTATTGTACTTCGTTTGGAATTTGTGTGGGAGATAGCTTGAGCGGGACAAAGACGCTGAGAGGTCATGTATTTATAGGGTAATTAAAAAGTTGCGATGGATTTGTTTAATGCCTGAAATTTGATTTTCAAGCCAAGAATTTTAGAATTCTTCGGTTTATGTTTGACAGCATCCAACAAGAGGGAAAACTAAAGCCTTGATCGCTTGACCCCTCAACGCTTTTCTTCTTCTTTGCTTAACCCTTCAACCACGTTTATATAATAATATTCAACTCTTGTTTAGTTTTTCCCCCCTCTTCGTGTGATTTCTTTAACTATAAATCTCAAAGATTTTAAGATTTAATCTTATTATTAACATAAGATATAATGAAACATAGTTATAAAATATACCTTATGTATTATATAATTAGGCCGAAAATATTAAGAGTGTCCTTTTTTCCCCATCAGGATGTGGTCCATGGAATAAAATTAGACATATACAAAATATGCTTAACAATGCATCCCGCTACATATCACGCGAAAATGTTATCTCAAACTTTTAAATATCCCATGAAATAGAAATTTGGAATAATCAAGCATAGCACACAAACATATTCATTAGTTGTACAAGATTGACATGTAAGCTCTCGAACGTTGTCTAGCAGATTATGCAATGAAGGGATCCAGAAATCGAGAAAATTAAGAGATTATACACTGAAATCAGCTCAACAAAATCAAAGGGCGGTGTGTGAAAACAACAACACATTCATAAGTTCTATATTCTTGAATTTGCATATATTAAAGCAATTTATTGGGATTTCTGAGTATTTTCACATTTTTTATTAAAAAAAATAAAAATGGTGGCGGTGTTTAAGTTTCTAGTGAATTTATTTAAACCAGCCGGCAGCCACCAGTGCCATTTTGCAAAGATATTATTAACCTCTAAGTTTAAAATAAGAATGATTTTCATAATCCATTGATAATGTAAAATAGTTGTTTCTAAAGAAAATAATTGTTTATATAAGTGCACTATGAATTCTTGACGCCATTCGCCAATCGAAATACGCTGATCTAATTAACTATGACTGGCTGGCAACAGGATAGGGACTAGGGACTAGGGACAGGACAGTTTGTCTTCTCTTCGAAGCTCCAAAAATGTATGCTACTTTAGGATATGCATTTAATGTAGAATAATATCCTATTTGGTACATGTAACTTAATTAAAAAAATCTAATATTATATTTATATATTTAAAATATTTAACAGAAGATTTGTCTTTTAAGAAAAAAAATTAACATAATATATATATATATATATATATATATATTATTTTTTTAAATATATGAAATGATTATAAGGTATTATTTATTCATAATCTTTCTTAACAATTGATAACTCATTTATGCATACACACCCTGTAGACGCAACTACTCAAACCTATGATCTCAAAGGAGAATAATTTTTCTTTTAATTACCGAGGTCACTCTATTGATTACACAATACATGCATTTTAATAAAAAAACTTATAATTTGTTAAAATATACAATATGATACCTAAACTATTATATATATATATGTTTTTATGTTACTTGAGTTAACATCGACAATTAGTATCATACTTAAATTATTATTTTTTATGTATTATTAAGATATTTGAGTTAATATTATTAATGTAATCCCCTAGACCCGACCTATGCGTTACAATCAGACCTAGCGAATTACAGTAAAATTTTCTAAAAATTTCTTCGATAATTTAAATCCATAATATAAATAACACCTTTAAAAACATAGTTAATAATGATAAAATCCAACTGAGTTAATATAAAATCATAAGTGACTAAATAAAATAAAATATGTCATAATCAGTATCACAATAAATCTAACATCAATAGCAAAAGCAGTATATGTCGTAGATCAAGTATTTCAAAATAGAGGCACGTGTCACCGAAAATGAAGGCAGTTTGGAAGATAAAAACATTACAACAAAATGTATTGTACGAAATGTGTCGATCCTCCAAGTGTCAGGTCTGGGTGCCTATCAAAAAATATCTGAAATGGTAAAAGTTTGGAAAAGTGAACTAGGGAGTTCAGTGTATCCCAATAGTGTAGAAATAAAACATACAATTAAGTTTCCAAAATCAGTTCATTTTGTAAAAAAGAAAATGATTGTAAAGTGTCAACACACCTTTTCGTACTACTAGGATTCAAACTCCTAAAAATAGGATATAATTTTGCTAGGATTCAAACTCCTAAAAATATGATAGAGTTCTACTATTATTTAAACTCCTAAAGATAAGATCCACAAGCACTATAAATAGCCATTGTAACTCACTATTGTACACACGATTTACAGACAAATACAGAGGAAAACACGGAAATACAAAGGCAAAGCTATTGTAAACGATTCGAAGTAATAAAGGTGAAAGCTTTTTTTATCTTTCGTTTGTTTCTCTTTACTCTTCACTTGCATGCGTTGTTAATCGTGTTTTCTTTGGAGAACCTCAAAGACAAATGTTTTAGCCGATGACACAGAGGGGGTTTTTTCGAAACTTTGATTTCATATCTACGCTCCCTAGAGGTTATTTCGCAAAAAAATTACATTTTTTGAATGAAAGTACGAAAATCTCAAAAAATGAAAACTTTTTTATTTTTGCCAGTTTTAATCTTCAATGTTCTTTGACATTTACCCACTTAATTTGCATTCCTTTCATTTTAATCCCTTAATTAGTTTTTTATATATATATACATACTTGCTAATTATTTTAATTTATCACTTTTTATTTTTCTCTATTTATATACGTTATTATATATATATATATTTATTTTCTTTGCATTTTTATATTACTATTATATTTTCTTTTATTCTACTTATTTATTATATGTATTTTTATATTTTTATTATATTTTACTTTCTTATTATTATTCTTTTTTTTATCTTATATGCGTATGTTCTTTTTAATATTTTAGTTTTATACTATTATAAATATATTTTTGGTTTTTTTATTTTAAGTGTCTATTTTATATTATACATATATTTTTCTATAATTTCTATATTTTTTATCTATATATTATATTTATTCTTTTTTATTGATATTTTTGTTATATACATTTACTATTATTATATATATATATATATTCTACAAGTTATATATCTACCTACTTTGTCCACACCCTCATCATTTTTCTTCTTGTCAATTATACTTCACCAAACCTTACTTTCTCTTCCATTTTCCGTGTGATTCTCTTTTTAACTACTTATTATCATTATTAGTATTGTTACTATATATATATATTTAATTATCTTTATTTGGGTTTTTTACCATTATGTGTATATGTTCTTTTCGTCATTTAATTTATTATTTATATTTTACTTTTTTATTTATTTTATAATATTATATTCGTACTTTGTTATTATTATTTTGTTTATTTTTATTTATTTTCTTTTTCTTTTTTATAATATTATTATTTTTTTTTTTTACTTACTATTTATCTTTGCTTTCTTCATTTTATCATTTACTTAATTTGTTTTCTTTTCATTTTAATTAATTAATTAATTTCTTACCATTTTATCTAACATGGCTTTTTATTTCTTAAGGGTACATTTTCAATCAATCAATGTAAGTTTTGGATCGTTTTTTACCTTTCAATTTAAACTTTCACTTTCTTAATTAAGACAACTGAAATAATAGTACCGAAGGGCGATTTAAGGGTGCTAATCCTTCTTTGACCATAACCGACTCCCATATCCGACATATCGCTGGTAGACGCATATCAGGTAAGAAATAAGGTATCCGATCAACCCACTTTTCGTAAAGTAAATGATCAGTGGCAACTCCCAATCCATTTTTCACGTCGAAGCCTAATTTCGGGGCACAACCGAAAGACAGTTGCGACAGCTTGGCGACTCTGTTGGGGACACAGGTAAGTGAGTCAGGCTAAGGTAATTTCCAGTTGTCTTTTTAATGAAAAGGGTAAGTTTAAATTTTAAGGTAACATTTCGATCCTTATTACTTACTTTTTATTTTTATAGTTGTACTGTACCATTTTTTAATGATTTCAGCCCTTAAAGATTTTCATCCAAGGCTCTATACCCGAGCTCCGAACCCCTTTTAAGTGGGGGTGAAAGTGACGCCTTCGTGTGAATTTATTCATCGTATGGCCTAGCAAGTAACCTTCGGATTCATATACCTTTGCCTTCGTGTGAATTTATTCTCCGTATGGGCATAAGGGAATGTTTCCCTCTCAAGTTTAACTTAGTCCACACAAGCCTGTGATGGGTTTAGGACTAAGGGTCTGGTAAGCCTAAGGGGGCACCGACAAGGAGAACTCGAGTACCTTTTTTTAGAACCTAAACCCGGAGACTACAAGGAGTTAGGGCCCACCCCAAAACCTCGTTTTAAACCCTAGGATGCCGAAATTATTTCATGCTTTACTTTCTGTTCAAAACATGTGAACTATAAATTTATGCGGTTAGGACTTGTTCAAAATCAACTTGCGGGATAGAGATCATGTCCGGGTATAAATAATAAGCATGTGGGGTAGATATCATGTGGGGTAGGACTTTTATTTTCATGATTGCTTTGATTATTATCTTTACCTTACTAACTCTTTTCATTTTTTTCTTCTCTTTTATTTTATTTACATCGTCTGCATCATTCAAAAGAAGTGTTGATCCACCAAAAAATGTGTTCGTTAACCATAAATAATCTGTATTAATGGACAAAGGTGTTGTAATACATGAGATTAAAAACCCCGAGGTACAACTATGGTCCGAGAAGACTCAGAAAGAAAAGGGAGACAGTCTTCAGGGAAATTATGTGTCAAAGCTTGTTAGTTACGCATATGTCAGCCTGAAACAAAATGACGTCCAAGAACTGCGAAATATTTGGGACAGTTGGGGGAATGACAGAA